TAATCCTTCCACAGTTTCACCTACAGAGATATTTACTTCTTTTAGATAGATCCTGGTAACTAAATTAACTAGCTCTCTTTTAATTGCCTTGGCTCCAGCTACAGTAAAAAGTGCATGAGTTTGAGCTTTTACGTAGGGGTGAAAGTGCACAAAGTTGTTTTCTATGCCCATTATTTTGCTTTCATAATCATCGGAAGCCATAATAATTGAGATTAACATCTGATTAAGTGCTCAGCGACAATAAAAGCAACTTCATAGTACAAAGGTTCTCCTAAAAATCAGCACTTCAGCCTGAGTTAGTTTAGGCAGCAAATGCACTCCTGGAACTTTTAAAACAGAATTTGACCTGCAAAACTCACCACAAATGCTGGTGAAAAAACCCCCATAAATATCAAAACTTTTTACAGTTCATTATTGTGCAGTGGCACTTCTACAGTAAAAACAAACTCCTTTACTTAGTTACCTCCAGATTGTGCTCAAAGTGGCTGAGAGAGCCAGGTGGGTTTCTGGAGTGCAAGTCATCCAGGTAGTCTCTGTACGATTTCTCCTCTTTCCTCAGCAGGCTCTCCCGTGTCATCTCATAATTCCAGGACGGCCGTCGTGGGAAACCAAGCCCTGGCAGTGAATAATCAAGTGTTAGTGCGTCAAGCAGTGACCCACTCCATTAGCCTACTCTGCTCACGTTTGGTTTATTTTAGGATGAAGAAAGGATTAACACCAAAATGAATCAGACCTTTCTCTGAGGGGTAGATGTCATTGATGTCAACCTCAAGTTCTTTGTCCGAGACTTGCTGCAGCACCTTTTCCCTGGCCAGCTTCTTCCTCTTCTCCACTTCCTCTTTACCCTCTTTCTCAAAGTGCAGTCGGAACCTAAAAAATGAGAAAACCCCCTTGTTGATCCTTTGTATGACTGTCTGCTGTTATGACAAATTAATGATGAAAGCCCCTATCCAGTGAAAAATGTGCCTTCTTCTTTTTCCTACATTTGAAAGGTTGAACCACATTATTTACAAATACATTATATGAGCATTGATTTATACTGGGGGAAAAAAACAGGTCAACTATGTAACGTCCTACAGACCTAATTTATTTTAACCTAATTTAGGATTAGAAGATCACTCTCTACTTCTTTCCTTTTTCCCTTCTCTCTTGTGGTATCTTCACTTTCTAATTTGTTGTATATTTACTGTTGGATATTTATAATAATTTAAAAAATTAAACAAAGAAAAAGACTGTATGGACAAAAGTATTGGGCACACCTCTTAATTTTGAATTAAGGTGTTTTCAGTACAGGCAAATTGATCACCAAACCATGTAGTCCATCTTTACGAACATTTTTAAGAGAATATGTTGTTATAAAGGGCTCAACGAATTCGAGCATAGTACCATAAAGGATGCCACCATTACAACAAGTCAGTCTGGGAAATTTCTTCCCTCCTAGATATTCCACAATCAACTGTAGGTGGTATTATTGCAAAGTGAAAGGGTTTAGGAACCACGGCAACTAAGCCACAAAGTGGCAGACAAAGTAAAGTAACAGAATGGGCTCGCTTAGTGCTGAGTGCGTAAAAGTCACCGACGTTCTGCTGACCCATTAACTGCAGTGTTCAAAACCTCCTCTGGCATAAATGTGTATGAGGGGCTTCGTGACATGGGCTTCCATGACTGAACAGCTTCTGCTGAGTGTCAGTGGCTTTTAAATACTTTTGATGTGTTTTTACGTAAAGGCAACAAATTCAACAATCTGAATTTTCTCTTTGTTTACTGACCATTTGACCTGGAAACTGATCCCGATTGAGTAATCAGCATAAAAAGGGGGTGTTAAAGCTTCAATTCTACAGTGAATATTAAGAATGGACTTGAAGCATGAGACAGTTTGTGTCCAGCAGTTAAAATCGTGAAATTAAAAACCCTTCTTATTGTTGTATTCTTCTAAGTGTTGTAGAATTTTTATTTTTATAACTGGAATGAAATTATAAGCGTTAATTACATTTTGACTGCAAATCATGTCCAACACAAATTACATTATTTTTGTAAAATTCAACACATGTGAATTTATATTATTTTCTGCATGATCTTCTAAACCTCCAATTAGTTATCAAAATGCAGCTGCTTCCTACTTAAGCATCTTTTTTTATGTGCGACTTCAAGCACAGGCTGTTGGATTTCGCTCAGTTTTACAGAACAAGAATCTGAAATCATTTACAGTGCTGTACTCTTACAACTCACCTGTTAGGGTCATATCGTCCTTCTCTGTTGAAGGGCTGCTGATTTATTCTTCTAATATCAGTGGTCTCGCTGTCTGAGGTATCTGACTGCCGCTCTCCTCCTCGCTCCACACTGGCATTGCGACTGCTTGGCCCAGAGCCTGTGTCACCTGGAAGATCACAAACCAATACCAAGAAATTTTCTTTTAACTTATCTGCTGCTTAAATACTGTGCTTATTAACAGGTTTATTGGTTCATTTTGGTGGAAATGTTAAATGCTTCCAGGCATAAATTAATTGGAACATGATAATGTTTATGAAATTCACATTCAACTATCCTGACCTCTTGATTATTTAATGGAGGGTACAATAAATCCATAATGTTGTCCTGCACTGCAGAATTCATTGACTGCCCTGTGTGGATGACCTGACCTTGGTAGAAAAGACTTTCAGTGCATGTCTTAAAGGGTTTATTGGTTACAGTAAGCACTTGAGTATAAACATTGCTATGAAAACTAATACTTTTCTTGTTAATCACGCTTTAAGTGGACTCAGCAACACCTAAAGGAAAGGCAGGATTTTTCAGGAAGCGCCTAGTTGGAACATGCCTAGTTTTGACAAGTTATGTCACATTTTATGGCGTCCTTGATGGATACTAAATCACGTTACTTGTCACGCCGACTTATTATTACTTGAAACATAGACAGCACATGGAAAATCTTAAACCCAGCATGCTATTAGTGGTAATAAATTGACCTATTGATAGCACCACGGTCCAAGACCTCTGTTAAAGTGGCTCTGTCTCTAGTAGTTTCTATGGCTAAACAAAAAACACACGACTTTGCATTATTTAACACATTTAACGCAAGTCTGTGCGCTAATTTTCACGTACTTGCCCACTCCGAAGGCAAAGTTATACCACACTGCTTCTTATGACTGCTAGCTGAAACGAGCACTGGCCTCGATTTACGGGCTAAATGAGTGATTTGATAATCAACTTAAGAACCCCCGACAACATGTAGACACAAAGAGTCATTGCAGTTAAACTCAGCAATGGAGCACGGACCGTTAGCAAACTGCTAAGCCTAGCATGCTAACGGCAAAATACTGTTACCTCTCTTTCTCTCCCGTTTGACTTGTAGCTGTTTCTTCTTTTGTTTGTTGCTAAATGGCTTTTTCCGGGGCATAGTTTAAAAAAAACAAACAAAACGATTAATATATTTATATATAAAGAAAGCTATGCAGTATGTTTTGCTGCGTAAAGCTTCTCACACAGCTTTCTTATTGGCGTTATTTACATGGATGAAGTTTCTCGACTCGTACACTTTTCAGTGACGCCATATCCACTGCAGACTGCGGAGAATGACGGAAGAAACCAATTTTAGGTGTTGGAAAACCGATCATTTTGTGCATTTGTGGGGCTTTATTTAAATCTCATTTTACGATTACACTTCAAACGATTAAACATCTTTACTCTGTGTATCATTACGTAGAAATATAATCTGAAAATATCCGAGAAATTGATCACGACACCCCTGTGCTCTTATGGTACAGTCCACTTTTGTAAACACCTCGCGAAATTGCACATTCCAGCAAATATACCTGATCCACGGGCATGATTGTCATAAAATAAACAACATAAATGTGTTTATTTATTTTTTAAGAAAAATAAAGACTATGTGAAAGGAATTGGGGGAAAAAGGATAAAAAGTTAAAGTTCCCCCATAAAGCAATTACAGCACATATGAAAATAATTTAAAAGGTAATAAAGTAGAAAAAAATTAAAAAGAAGTAATCACTTAGAGGGTTTTATTTTTATTATAAGCAGAAAAAAATCTCATGAGTCATTATGTCTATGAATAAGTGTTATAAATGTTGTTACTATGGAAGTATAATAGCAGAAGCACATTTGAATAACACTACTTTCAGGACATACATACAAAGCAGTACAACTGGATTACATGAACAGGCTCATCACTCTTTCTCAAAGGTTATGTGAAGGCCTGCAAATCGATTTAAATACATTATGTGTTTTACCATAACCTTTAAGCACGCAATCATACTTTATAAACTGGTAGGATATAACTTTATATATGTGATTGCTATTTTTTCTTTCCAGAAAAAAAGGATCACAAGCATCCGTTGTTATAACTTCGCAGAGTTAATAACGTTGATGTAAAAACTGAAAGTTTCTGTATGAAAGTATAAAAAAATACTTCCGTAGTCAACTACTAATTTCAATAAAAGAAAGTCAATAACTTGAGATGGCCACAGTTGTATCTGTAGGGAAGAGCAGGAGGTGTTAATAGTAAAGTGAAGTATCTCTTAGATGCTTCCTATTATAAAACCATCACTGTGATGGACTGAAACATACTTTATTGCAGCCTTCACATGCACGTCAGACTGGACAGCTAAGCAAACAAATCAAACAAGGCAAGAAAAAAAAAAAAAGATAAAACTTAAAAAAATAAAACTAAAATTATAGTCTTCAGTTTATTGTGTCATGGTATCGTTTCTCCTGTCTGCCTCAAAAAAATCATTCAGGCACAGTCATTTGTTCCAAAGTTTCTGCATCATCTTAGTATTGCTTTAATTTTTCCACTCTTCATCCTCCATCTCTTGTTATTATGAATGAATTTTAGCTTGCCAACCTCCCACTCTCTCTCCTTTCATCTTCTCTAAGAGTTGAGATGCTCCACTTGGATGGTGGATGCTGACACAGTGAGACAGAGGTCCTTGTGGGTACTAATGTCCGCCACACTGACTGACTTGTACTGGATGTCGTTGGCAGACACCGTCTTATATTGATGGAGGTCAAACGGACAGGAGATGGATTCTGTCTGAGGGTAGTTGCTCTGGCTCTGTCCTTGCTGGCCCCTGCCCGCCGCTCCACTCCCAGCTCCTCCAGGTCGGCTCGATGCTCCATCTGCACTCTCTACCCGGCTCTGAGCTCCAGCCTGGCCCTGGGCCTGGCTTTGGTTCTGTTGTGCCGGCTGTGCTGCCATGACTGCTGATGCAGTCAACTGCTCTGGGTTGTGTTTCTCCATGTGTTTCACCAGATACGTCTCCTGAGATGAAGGGAGGATAGGTAGAGGGGAAACAGTGGAGACATGACTACACGGTGTAAAGTAGCTGCCAGGTGTCTGATGCCAGTGAGGCGATTCATAGTGTTGCATGTAGTAATGCTCTTCAGAAATGGACATTTGTCTTACTGAAGTGTAAGTGCGGTTGCAGAGACCACACGAGTAGATCCGGGCATGTTTGACAGTGTGTGTGGACATGTGCACCTCCAGGCTCGCTGCATCTATGTATCCTTTATTGCAGTTCGGGCACTTGTAAGGCTTGTCTTTGTTGTGTTGACGCCGGTGAGACTAGGGGAAAAAATTGTTATTGGTGGGAAAAAAAAGGCATAACAATACAGTGAAATGTTTTGAGAGTTAGTTAATACCCAAACACTCCATGCATAAGAACAGAACCAAACTCATTCACACCTGTAAATTTGAGAGTTGCGTGAAGGATTTCTCACAGCCTGGGTGACTGCACTTGTATGGCCGATCTCCGGTATGAATCCTGAATAAAACACAAAAACACACACATGTACAAACACGGGCGCCTATCACTTTCAGGGTGACCTAACCTGACCGCAAGGAGATGAGAAACCCTAGACCAGTGGGTGATTTACCTGCTGTGCTGCTGAAGGTGACTCAGCTGTCTGAAGGACTTTTCGCAGTAGGAACAGGTGTAGGGTTTCACTCCGGTGTGGATGCGGATATGTTGGGCCAGGTAACTAGAGTTGGCAAATGACTTGGTACAATGGGGACACTTGTGGGGCTTTGCATCTGTGTGGTTCCTGATGAGAGCAGATAAGATGGTAAAAGAGAGAAATGAAAACAGGACTGTAAGGATAAACTGAAGACAAAAAAAGCCTCATTTTAAGATAATCCTCTTAATTTATCATTTCAGGGAAAAACATCTCACACAAGGAAATTAAAGCTTGCGGCGATGAAGCACAGAGCAATGAAACATTTGGAAATTCTGAAGAAAACACCCCAACAAAATACGCTTTACTGATTACGGCCAGCAGTAATTACAAAATTCACACAAACATCCAACAAATTTAACAATTTTATCTGTCTGGACCAACTCGATTAGATGCTTAAGATTTAAACACAAGAGATTATATTAAAGGGGACCCATTATGTTATGTAATTTTTAGCTAATACTGAATTTAACATGAGTAGCTTTTCAAGCCTTACAGGTCTGATGCAGCCCCTTGATGCAGCCCCTCAGCTGTCTGAAACAAGTCGTTTTATCTCCTTCTCTCTCCCCTTCAGTCAATTTTCTCCATCAGACAGGAGGTCTGAACAGCAGGTGGGTGGGGAATCTATGCTCCTAGCCAGAGCTGTGTCCCTGAGGTGACCACTTTATGGATATTGACTCTCACTGATATCATACAGAGCTAAGAGTTGAACAAAGTATCTACAACTAAGAGAACAGTCTAAAAGCTGTGTTTTTGCCTCATAGAAATTACCTTACACTCACTTGTTTAATATGAAAATCCAGCATTTTAATGGTATACATATGCCAGAAAATAAAAAAAAGCATAACAGGTCCCCTTTAAAACAATAAAATAATAAATACACGTTTTACAAATGTATCAGTTTATCATGCTTCCCGAAATGATGGAAAATTGATACGAGCACAGCCCCCCAAAAAGGATAAAACAAACAGGATAACAGAGCATGAAAGCAAAGCATGGCAGAACATCACTATTGAGTGTTGAAGATGAGAAAAGCACTGACAAAGATATGAACCATCAAATCAATAACACAAAGGGCTGTACAATGGTAAAGAGCAACAATACTGTCAACTTTATTTTTTAGAAGTTTACTTTGAAAGATTTGAAATATGTATGTGTGTTTATGGAAGAAGCAGTGTCGGAAGACATGACAGCACATGCAGACAGAAGGACAGAAGGTGCAGTGCAAAAAGGAGCAAGACCTGCACAAACACAGCAAAGACAGAAACAAAGGCAGGGGAAAAAAAAACAAAAGAAAAAAAATTTACGGCCAAAGGCCAGACTTCAAAGGTGTCATCTGAATTTTAATATGCTGAAAAGGTCACTGGATGGAACTGGCAACATGCGAGCCAACATCCACAAGGCAACGTAATATGGTCTGCACTTCACTGTCTTCACCAGGATGGAGAAGAACATAGGAGGGGTCTTAGCAGGACAAGTTAAGAGAACAGGGTATATGGTATGGGTGGGTAATGGGGTTGGGGGGTCTGTAGTACCGTGAGTGCTGCTGTAAGTGACTGAGCTGCCTGAAAGATTTCTGGCAGTAGGAGCAGGTGTAAGGCTTGGCCCCACTGTGGATGCGGATGTGCTGGGCCAGGTAGCTGGAGTTGGCGAATGACTTGGCGCAGTGAGGACACTTGTGAGGTTTGGCCTCTGTGTGCGACTTGGAGTGGATCTGCATGTCAGACTTACTGAAGAAGGTCGCCGCACACATCCGGCACCTACAGGCGTAGAGACAGAGAAATGGAAGGACGGGATAGAAGTACAAGGAGGAGGAAGAAGAGGGAGATGTACAAGAGGAGGAGAAAAAAAAAGAGAGAAGATGGGACAGAAGAAGATTAGGAGACAGGGTAATGGAGCAATGACCCACAGAGAGAAATAAGATATCACAGAAAATGAAAAGAAAAAAAAAGAAAAAAAAATCAATGAAGACAAAGGTGGGTTAAATCAAATAAAGACGACACAACCAGACAACACAGTGAAATGTCAAGGGAGAAATCAGTGAAAACTGAGGAGGAAAGGTACACAGGTACTATAAAAAAAGAGGAAGAGAAGGACACAGAAGTGAGATCACAGCTCAAAGAGCATGCTATATAAGGACAAAGGGGAGAGTAGAAGACAGGTTTGTGTCCAGTGTGTGCAGACGGAGAGAGCATCTACAAAGCATGTATTTGTTTTCTCAAATACATTTTTAGTAAAGAATTAAGCATCCATCACAAAGCCGGTGTGTTCAGCCACAACATGCAGTGAAGAGTGTTTGTCTGAGGAGTCGGCGTGTCAGACGCTAATATCCAGCACTGCCAAGGTCATCTACAAAAGCTGAAAATCTCAATGCTAATTTCCAGAAGTGAACAGAGAAACAGATGTATGCATATTTCACAGCCAGAGCAAGAACAAATGGAGATGAGCAGCAAGTATTTAAAAACATTAAATAAATAAATAAATACCTGTATGTTTTCGTGCTATCTTTCGAGGCATGGTCCTCGTCTTCATTTGAGAGATCATATGGATCTCTAGCATGATGCTGCAAAGTTGTCACCTATTGATAATAAAATTAAAATCGATTTAATGAGCAGTTCGTTGCATCACGCTTCCTTTTTCACATCTGTAGCTGTTCTCTTACCTGGCCACCTGGCGTCAGATGAGCCAGTATTACAGTTTCATTTCCCGGCATGCCCAGAGGACCAACCCGAGACACTGTGGTCTTCTTCTTTCTCCCTCGTTTGGAGGGCGCTGGCATCACAACCACATGTGGATTCCCGTCCGCTTCTTTTTTGTCTATGAGAAGATCGACAGTCACAGGTTAAGATGATGGAACAGAGTTTTGAAAGCAGAAGATGGAACAAGTTTGTAATAATTCCATCCCATATTTAAATACCATCTACATAATGGTCTGTAGGTGCATTGACATCAAACTGAAAACCAGAAGATGCTGAAGGAAGTCTAATGTGTTTCAGTATAATCGACATGTGAATACATTTGGACAGCATCAGACACATGATCAAAATTGATGTGCTTCTTTTATAAATATGGGCACTTTTCATACTGAAAATCTGTATTTATGTTTGTTTTCTAAAAGCAAAGACACCAATAATTTATTAACAGTTTCAAACAGCATCTATTGTACTCGAAGACATAAATTTACTTAAAAAGACAGAACCATAAGTCACTGACACAGGCTTGGTAATAAAATAATCTGGTTTTGTTACTCATCAGATCACTCTGTGCTTTGTGGACAAGGACACAGATGTGTTCATAGCTCAGAGATGTAATTTACGAATAGCCTGAACAAAGTCTAACTTAGCACTGCAAGAAAGACTCTCAGTCAGGTTTGATCATGTTCCAGGTAATCAAGTCATCATTAAATGCTTCAGACATTTTTGTCTCCTGAGTTTTTAGTGCAAGAATTTTCTTTTATAGTCTCAATAACTCCATAAGAGAACATATGAATGCCCCCCAAAAGCCAAAATATTCCACAGATGAGGGATTCAGTCAGTGATTAGTCACATTAAACCTGGTTTATGCTCATTATAGTAGCCCTCATGAAAGTGCTAAAAGCACAAACCATGTTAAGTGTTGTTTCAGTGTGTCGTGCACCTGACAACTTTTGTAACCCAGTGTGCACAGCATTGCTGAGAAGCTATGAAGACACAAGAATAAGAATCCTTTATTGTCATCACGTGTTCACACAACAAAACTTCATTTGGTAGCTCAGAAGAGAATGGGCCTTTAGCGCACCCATCGACATACATATATATACTGTACATACATATATACGACTGTGCTGGTCTCAATGATATATACTGAAGCTCAGACATTCTCAGATTACAAAGAAGGAGCTGCAGCAACACCTTCAAAATGAGACTTTCTGGAGAAATCTCTATGAATTCTTAGCTTCTTCTTTCTAATTCTTCTACTCATGTACCAGCACTGATGAAAAGTTGCTGCACCTATTATCTAGGAGAGGACTTCAGCGAGTTCAGTGCACACTGAAGCGCCAGTAAGTAACAGCCATGGGGCTGCAGCGGCGTCACAGTCGACACATACCAAAACCAATAAGGTGACCATAAACCAGGCTTTACACAATACCCTGAGTTCTGAATCGTAGTAAATCTATAACACTGTTTGATCCACCCATATAAGTTTTAATCATTTACATAGTAACAATATTGTACTTAGAAACAAGTTAGCCAGTATGTGTGTATAATAACATGCTGTTCACCTGAAGAATGGAGTGCTGAAACAATCATGGTTGTTGCTGGATGGCCGGACACAAACGACTGAGAGGAGGTTGGAGAGACTAGAGTTCCCTGAGGAGTCGTGATCACCAGACCAGCTGCAGAGAAAGAGACAAGAGCAGAGATGAGAAATTGTCTAAGATGAGCAGTGTCACTGAGGTTGAGGAATTCAATTTACAGCTTCAAGAACATGTTGCCAAAGGCATTTTTTAAAAACTATAATCTACATCTCCAAGTGTAACAATAGCACTACAAAGCAGAATGTTTGTAATACAGCGCTAAAGTTGTCTCAGTTGAGGAAAACCTTGAATTAATTGTTCATTTTACTCCCATTTTCTCTATTTACAAAGTTTGTTCTCATAACCTAAATAATTTAACACACTGCTGTTACATTATACTTCAAAAACTGAAGGTATGGGATCTAAATACGGCCTTAATATTTGGTGTTTCAGTGTTTTTAACTCAATCCCCAAATATGTTAAGTCTTTCAACCTCAAAACTGAGAAAGAGACGCTTAAAGGTTTCTAAACACAGAAACAAGCCCACCTGCTGTCATGATGCCTGTGGAGGGGACAGGCAACACTGTGATGTTCTGGGTGCTGTGCGGAGGGTGGAGGTGCGCCACACTACCAGCCTGGCCTCCTCCATCTGTCTTGGCCCCAGGCGTGGGGATGGTGAGAAGAGCCGTCTGGTAGTGAGATGCAGGGGAAGCAGAGAAGGAAGCGCTTTTTTCCTGTTGCTCTTTTACTTTGTTTAGGAACATGGCATTCTCAATCTGTCAGGAGAAAGGAGATTTTTCTTTGACGGAAACATTCTCTCCCCGTCATCAACTGATTGAACAGTAAATTATTTTGTAGCCTAACCTGTCCGGGCATAGTCGGGACTGGGGACCAGAAATATGATGAATTAAAATGAGAGTCTTCCATCATTTCTGCAACGACACAAAAGCAGCAAGATTTAAAAACTTTCCATCACAGCTGGCCAACACTAGAATGTATTATTATTTATTAAAATGAGCTAAATGTATCTTATATATAAAACATAAAGTCTAACTTTAGAGTTGATTTGGAAGCTGACATTTGCAATAATGCTACATGCATTGTGCCATATGACATTTAGTCTAACATTAAAACACTCAAAGTAGGAGGGAGGACCCATCGATAAAACTATTTTAACAGAAAATTAATTTTTTTAGCTTTACGAGTCACTGGATAGCTTATTAATAATAAAAAAAAAGCATTGGTTTGAGTTAGGTGTACCTAATGAAGTGGCAGTGGAGCCTGTTTCCCTCACAGCTGCTTGTGTACATTAGGACTAAAAAAAAAAGAGAAGACATTTCTACTAGAGTAATTAAAAATTGTAGTGAAAATGCTCATGCAGTGTGTTTCTATGTCTAATGAGAAAGACCTTAATGAAATGTTTCCCACACCAAAGAGCATGTACTACATTATTCTCCTGCAGATCAATGACAAGACAAATACCAGATCAATGCATTACTGTTTTAAGGGCTCACCCACTACAAGGATTTCCTGTTAGGAGGCCTCCGGGCCTCCTAACAAAAAGTAGTAATGGTTTGTCAACCCTCTCAGTTCATTTGTGCACCTTATTCCTAAAATATGACATGGCTTCCTGAGTGCTGACTGCACACTGCAGAGCACCAATTAATTTGAGAACATACACCTTGTTAGCAAAACCAAGAGAAATAATGAAAACCACAAATCTGAATCTTGACATTCTTCGAGATGGGGATCAGGTAATAAGGTTGGACCTAAAGAGCCTCGCCATATCAGTCGCTTCACCGTAGGGGCGGGTGTAAAGCAGACAAAGTGTGTTGACGCAGCACATGTTGTTGTGACATGTTTTAGAATAAAAAGCAAAGACTGTTTCACTTCTAACCTCAGTGTACCAACAAGCCAAACCAGGACATTGAAACTAAAGTAGAGAAATGAAATTCATGTAATTCTGGCTGCTAAAAGCAAAACAAAACAATCCTCCAAAAATCAATAGGAGGCGAAATTATTTTAAAGAAACTCACAGCAAATGACTGCAAAGAGTCTGAGGGGTTGTTTAACGGCACGATGCAGGTTCTAACACTGTGGTGACACTTTTTTGTTTGTTTGTTTGTTTTATTCTCACCTGTAACCAGGTTTGATTCACTTATCCTGTGTGAAGCACTGTGGTTACTTTAACTATGCTGATATGGCCCCAGGGTCAAAATCAGCCCTGAATGAGGCCAATGTGAAGTTTATAACTTACACTTCTGCTTTTTTTCCTTTGTGATACGAAATATTTAGACTGTAAGAAAACCTGGTTGACAGGGTGTTTTCCAGTTCAAGAAAAAAAAAATACAGTTAAGAGCTTTGTATATTACTGAGTAGAAATACATGCACTCCCACTGTTTGTTTTCTTTTGGCTCTGGCAAAAACTTTTGTGGGCACTAAATAAAAGACCCAGTTAATCAAATTACTAGACACTAACTCCCCAGTGTGAGGGTGGAGGTTTTTTAAAGGGTCCCTGAAGGTGTGGGTCTCTTGGGGAAGCACTAGGCTCATTCCTGTGACATGTTATTGCTACAGATACAGTTTAAAAGGGAAAAGTAGAAAGGGGGAGAAAGATTCTGTTTTTCTTAATTAATGAGATAATTATGTCGCAGAAGAAAATGTGCTGTTGCTCAGACTAAAAATCCCAAAAGAGTCTCTGTTGATTTAAAAGTTTCACTTCATAAGCATTAATGTTTAATTAAGCGTCATTTAATACAATTTTCTTTAGGTTCAGGTCTGAACCAGTGCGAGATACTGCTGTCTATGAGTAATATAGATGGTACTGTAATACACTGTTTATCAGCTTGATATTACATTGTTTCTCCAGGATCTTTAACATATAAGACAATCCATGAACATGTGGGTATCACCCAATTTTTCTAACTTAAAAGAAAACAAAATTGTACCGCATCACTGTTTTCATGATATTACAGAGGCTATACTGGGGGGATTTTAAGAGATGTCAATAATTCAGAAACTACTTTTTTTGTCAGATTAATGTAATAGATTTTTGAGAGAGTTGGTACATTTATATGATAAGAAAAGCAAAACTAGCATGTTGGTCTCATGGATGAGTCGTTAGAGATATTTCAATTAGCTTTTACTTTTGTCTTAATTGTTTGTTGTCTTATTGTTCATTAATTTCCATATTAAGTTTGCTGGTTACATTTTAGTTTCTTTTGTTGGAAAATGTTTAGTAATGTTTTTATCTATTAGAATACAAGGGATGTTTGTACAAGGGAGAATTTTAGAAGCTCGGATCAATAAAAACACTCGACTAAACGTGTGCACAGATATCCCACATACTGAATGTGTTCACAATTAAAACGTATCAGAAAAGACTAAAAGTGAAGACTTGTAACTTATATTTCCTATTGCACTCAGATTATTAAGGAATATATGAAATACTGTTTAGTTTAGTTTTTCTTTTTTGTTTTGTTGAGAATTTGTGTTACTTTTTATTATTTCCGTGTAACTAACATGTATTGTCACACCCACTTTTAGTTTTTAGTTTGGTTGCCTATTACAGCCTTGTCTGGGTGCAAGTGTTTGGCTCCATACAGCTGTGATTCCATAACTGCAGCTCTGATTAAGCGTCCAGATGTGTTAAAAAGCACTATTAAATAATATGAGGTTAAACTTTCCTGCCCGCTTTCCTATATGTCAGTATTTAGCGGCATTAAAAGGGATCCACATCCAGCTACTTAGCTTTAAGTTTGCTCTGCGGAATAAAGTAGACCTAAAAGAACTACAAAAACATGAACTTTCATAAAACGCCACATATCGGAACAATGTAAGGCGCATATCTACAGCAGGTCTCCATTTGGCCTCCGTGCATCCTGCAGTTATTCAGGCCCGACGTGCTGATTAACATACATTTAGCAGACACACAGTGTGAGCCTGTGCTGCCTTCCCGCTCGGGAAAAAATAAACGCAAAGCAATGAAAAAAACCAAAAGCATAAAAAAAACTGAAGCGAAGAAAAAAAAAATAGACCATCCTCACAGACTTCCGGCTGTGGGGACGGGTGGAGAGGCGGCAGCAGAGTCGACCGAATCTATCAAAATTTACTACCGACTGCGTGGAGAAGAGTGGCGTTTACCGGAGCTGACGACTCCGCTTTCCTCCGCGAAGCTCCAGCAGGCCGGGATAGTTTGGACACAGTTTCCAAATCTGTCCAAATTCCAGTGAATCTGTGAAGTTTCCCCCCCTCCTCCTCTTTTTTTTCTCTCGCTCTCTTTTTTTTTCGTTTTTTTCCCTCCGGTGAGCCAGTCGCTTCGTCTGAGCTTCACTTCCTCCTGATAAGGTCGTCAGACAAAAGAAGCGTGTGCAGTGACGTCACTTCCGCTTTCTGTCAGGCAGTTAATTTAAAAAATCTAAAAAGTCCGCGATCAGCTGGTCGTGTTTTTTTGAGTGGTAGAAGTGGTAGCAGTAAAATAAACAAATAAATAATTATTTCACTGTATCGCATGCCAGCTTTTACTTACCAAGTGAATAAGTCCCCAGTGGTGCGTTTACTTGTGGTCAGAAATGTAAATTAAGTCAGTACTGTCAGGGGTGTCCAACACTTGGCCCGCGGGCCATAACCGGTCTGCCCAATTAATGTTTTTTTTTTTTTTTTGTGAGGCACTAGACTCAAATGACTTTGTTCCATTATTAAACAATATACACACATGATTACTTTACTTTGTCACTCTTCCTGGGGACCAGAACCGGTGTCGTGCAAAAAGGGATCTCCTGACAAAAAGTAATTTCTGGTATTTAAACTGTTGTAAATGAGTTGTTGGCCTATAATCTGTCAAACATATCTCTCATGAATGATATCAACTCCTTTTGAGCCAGACGGAACATGAGAGATGACAAAGAGACATTCATTTATCCTTTGTGTATCCAGGTAAGAGTCGCTGACATTAAAAAAAGGCAATTTTCAGGAGAGATCTGGCCAAGACAGCAGCAGCAAACATTTAAATAGCTATATTATCACTGTCCATAACGCCAAAACTTTTTGTTCCCAAAAGGTTATTTTTAAAGGTAATATTCCCTAAAATTATTCTTCCAAATTATTACCTTTCTGAAATATTTATCAATAACATTGCTATAACATTGCTAGTGGCACTTAAAACCCCCGCATTTAATCATTTGTTTTTATTAATTTCTGTCTCTCTTTCAAAGTGTGTCTTTTTTTCACTCCCAATTGATCGAGGCAGACGGGTGCACCTCCCTGAGCCTGGTCATGCTATAGATTTCTTCCTGTTAAAAGAGAGTTTTTCCACTTTCACAAAGTGCGTGTTTAAAGGGCATCATCTGATTGTTGAGGTTTTCTCTGTATTATTTTAGGGTCTTTATCCAACAATATAAAGCCCCCTGAGATGACTGCTGATATGATTTGAAGATACATAAATAAAATGGAATTGAATTGAAATGTTACCAGAGGGATGTTTCATTAGTAAAAGGTTTATAAACATGTTTTTAAAATGAACCAACTGAGTTTTTTTGGGAAGAGGTCTGGTACACCTGGATGCTCTCTCAGTATTAAGAGAGCTTTAAAGAAATCTGTGGTCATTTAAGCAATCTTGACAGCGCAGTTTTGATAAACGGTTATTGGAGGAATCTCATGGAAGCACTGATTTATCAGGGGTTTTTTAAAATTATTTTTTAGATAATAACACAAATTTTCAACTGAGCTCTGAAACAAAAAAGAAGAAGAAAAGAAAATACAGCAGTTGAAACAAGCTTCCATAAATCTCTTCAAGAGGGCACTGTGTGTATTTACAGTTTGATTCACTTTTTTAGATCATTTGTTCAGTTTTACCAGTGCATACAGCAACATTTACAGTGATCCCTTTATGAGTTGTGTTAATTTCACGACACAGTCCAAAATACATAAATTCAAAAATAAAGAAAATATATCCCACATATATATCTTTTGATGATTCCTAGGTTTTTGAAGACAGAATTTTAACAGTAATAATAATAATAATAATTATTATAATTCTATATATACATATAAACTCAAAACTGTTACTCCCCAGTGGCACTGGTGAGAAACCCCACAAAGCTCCCTGAGGCTCCTGTACCTTTAAAAGTACAGACTGCCTGTGTATTGCAGGGCTAACAGAGATGGAAAGATGGTGATTCACTCTCCCATTCAAGGCCAATTTAGAATTACTAATTAACCTGGAGAGAACCCACATAGGTTACAGACTGATCATGCAAGCGCCAAGATCCCAGCAGACCAGCAGGTTTGAGCTTCTTGCCGTGAAGCAAGAAGCGCAAACCTATAACCATGTGCACTACTGTGTAGCTACTTTTGGCTACGCCTTTATCCACAAAGGATGTCCACAGCAGGTAGCTCCACGTGTTTGATTTGGCAGATTATTTTTTACACTGAATGCCTTTCCATACAAAAACTCAAAGATATTTGTGTCTCTGTGTCTCCTGGATTGAAACCAGGAATGTTTCACTCATTAGACGAATATGTAAGCAACCATATGGAGCTGTCTGTGTATATACAATATATTCCTAGAATAACAAAAAACATGGTTATCTGTGCACCAAAAGTGGTCAGGGCTCATTAACTAAGGACCATGAATGCAATCACCAGATAAAATCTAACCAGCACTTTCCAAGAGTTTAAGACTGAACGGCTATGATCTGTTGTCCCAACGCATCCTCAAAATATCACGGGGAAATGTCTTCGGGAAATATACAAAATCTGTCACTTCAAGCCTCTGTAACATCCTGAAAACAGCTTAAAATATTGCATTGACATTTGTTTTTTAAAATTTACTGTTACCGTGCAACACCGGGTAAGATTCCCTATAAATAAAATTATACCCCAGTTAGCAGTGAACGATGCCAAATGTTCTTCTCTAAAACATTCCAACAGGCATAATTACAACCTGTAGGTGGAAAAATAGTCAGCAAAGTTCAAAGAGCATTTGGTTCAGTAGTAAATAATTGTGTAAGTAATTCTTAATCATGCAGACAGGAACATGTTATCTCAGAGAAAATTAGTATATTGCATACCGGTTTTATAATTTGATTAGTTTGGCTTATAAATAAATTCAAATGTTTAGCGGGGCTAAAATAACATTCATAAATGTCTTGTTTTGTCCAATTAATATTTCCATAAAATCTGACCGATACTGCTCTTTTTGGCAATTTTAATGATTAAGCAGGCTTCACTGCGTTTCAGACAATAAATAGAGCAAGAAATAGAAACACTCACAGTATTTACTTGAAAAAAGCCTTATCCAGTCGTAGCCAACAGTTTTGAGAATGACACAAATATTAGTTTTCACAAAGTTTGCTGCTTGAGTGTTTTTAGATCTCTGGCATGTTGTCAATCAACTTCTGGGCCAAATCCTAACAGATGGCAACCCATTCTTTCATAAGAATCAATGCTTGCATAATCAATGCTTGGAGTTTGTCAGAATTAGTGGGTTTTTGTTTGTCCACCTGCCTCTTGAGGATTGGCCACAAGTTCTCAATTGGACTGAGGTCTGGGGAGTTCCCTGGCTATGGACCCAAGATGATTTGTTCCCCGAGCTACTTAGGTATCACTTTGGCCTTATGACATGGTGATCCATCATGCTGGAAAAGGCATTGTTCTTCATCAAACTGTTTTTGGATGGTTGGAAGAAGTTGCTTTCAGAGGATGTTTGGCTGTTTTTTGGCAAAATTGTGAGTGAGCCCACTGCCTTGGATGAGAAGCAGCCCCACAAATGAATGGTCTCAGGATGCTTTACTGTTGGCATGAGGCAGGACTGATGGTAGTGCTCACCTTTTCTTCTCTGGACAGTCCTTTTTCCAGATGCCCCAAACAATCAGAAAGGGGCTTCATCAGAGAAAATGACTTTACCCCAGTCCTCAGCAGTCCACTCGCTGTACTTTTTGCAGAATATCAATTCGTCCCTGATGACTTTTTCTGAGAAAAGTGGCTTCTTTGCTTCCCTTCTTGACACCAGGCCGTCTTCCAAAAGTCTTCGCCTCACTGTGCGTGCAGATGGACTCCTACTATTCCTGAGCAAGCTCTGCACTGGTGGCACTCTGATACCGCAGCTGAATCATCTTTAGGAGACCATCCTGGTGCTTGCTGGACTTTCTTGGGGGCCCTGAAGCCTACTTCACAATAATTAAACCTCTTTCCTTGAAGTTCTTGATGATCTGATAAATGGTTGATTTAGGTGCAGTCTTAGTAGCAACAACATCCTTGCCTGTGAAGCCCTTTTTATGCAACGCAATGATGACTACATGTGTTTCCTTGCAGGTAACCATGTTTAATAGGAAGAACAACGATTTCAAGCATCACCCTCCTTTTAATGCATCCAGTCTGCTATTCTAACTCAGTCAGCATAACATAATGAGCCAGTGCTCCAGCCTTGTGCTCGTCAACATTCTCACCTGAGTTGATGAGAAATGTTTTGAAATGATCTCAGCAGGTCCTTTTATGGCATGAAATGCTGAATGATGAAATGCAGCCGAAATTGAATTTTTGAGATTAAGTTCATTTTCATGGCAAAGAAGGATTTCGCAGTTCATCTGATCACTCTTCATAACATTCTAGAGTATATGGAAATTGCTATTATAAAAACTGAAGCAGCAAACTTTGTGAAAACCAGTATTTGTGTCATTCTCAAAACCTTTGGCGACGACTGTACTGTTAGACTTTGGTGAATATTAGAACTTTTAATGAGTATGTGTCAGCTGTTGCTCTGTAAAGTAGAAATAAATAAAACTGTTTTTAGAAACAGCCTTTAATTTTTAGTTCAAATTATTTTTCATTAAAGTCCCAGCGTTATGGCTTTAAAAGTTAACTTCCAAACTAACTTGTTGTCTTTTTCTAAATACCCATTTGTTCACTTAATGTTTCCCACTTAACTTAATCTCTTACTTTAGCCATTTTATGTTGCAAATATTTTAATGAATCATCTGCACTTGACCTCCTCCAGCTCTCAGTGGATACTGCAGAGGTCCATGCAGCAGGGGTCCAAATTGGACTAGACATACCATCTTACTTGGTCCAACTTGGACAGGCCCAGTGGCCCATAATGGTTATGGGCTACTGGGCCTCTGGATTACTAATTTGCCCCACTGGCCCCTATTTCTATTTTAGGTCTGTGGGATTTGGAGGCAAAAAAGAACCAGGAAGACTATAATTTGCCAGCTTCTGCAGGCCAACCAATGCCACCTGTTATCATTGTGCTCATTAAGACATTGCAGCTCACTGTAATAATACGAGAACAGTAAAGATCCTGACAATGTTTCAAGAACTTTCATAGCTTTTGGATAAATGCATACAAATCTTCAAAATGTAATGATTTTTAAAAAGTGAATATCTGGTAACATCTATCTATCTATCTATCTATCTATCTATCTATCTATCTATCTATCTATCTATCTATCTATCTATCTATCTATCTATCTATCTATCTA